CCCCAAAACCCCAAAACCCCAAAACCCCTCAATATCATATCTGAGCGATTGGTGAAGTAAAATAAAATTTGAGGAGGAGCCTGACAAATAAATAATTTTAAATTTGACTATAAAATTAATGTCTACCAATAATTAAACAACGGAGAACAATCCAAATTTATAGTCCTAGCAAAGCCCTTACTTGCTAGGTGGTTAAAACTAATAATCAAGGAGCCCTACTGATATACAGAGTAGAATTCTCAATCTATCACCCTATGATATCCCAGTTGGAGTCCCAAATCAAAATGCCATTTAAACAGGTTATGGAGGCCAAATCTAAGGTAACTTAGGAGTTGGAAATTCACCATATGGCGCCAATATCAATTCTCAAACACCAACTCCACAATCTCAATCTACTGGGATACTACCATAATAGCAGCATTATATTCCTTAACAGTTTAGCTAAGACTAACAAAATTAGTTCACTAGACAGTAGTAATAATTTGTTCCATAAATGCAGCCATAAATTCAATCACAACATTCTGGAATACCTACTTAGTTTATTTAACCTGCTTACTAATAGCCACCATCCTAGATGATGGCTTAAAATTAATTCAATTAGTAATAACCTCTTGGAGGTTCATAGTACCAAGTCCCTAGGCATTAATAAGGGGATTTGCCTTTTGGAGTTTAATAGCAACCGCAGTTTCTTGCTCCACCTTAAAGACAATTGTTTTAAGAGCAATAACTGGGCAATCCATATTAAATGTAGCAACAGCAATAACCAGGAGGCTTAGGAATAGGTCTAGCTCCACAGCCATTAATGCCTCCATCAAGAACTGAAGACCAAAGAAAAATATACATTCTCGACCTAATTATGAAATATCAAGACATTTTAACTTAGGAAGAAAGAGAGAACATCAAGAAAAACAATTAATGGGTCTCAACTGGAATGCTGATGGGTTTAATCTCACTACCCTTTTCTATTTATCTTTCATCATAAGCAAGAAGATATCCAGCGAGGAGACGAGAATTTCTAACTAGAATTTTACTGTTGCCCTTCATACCATTGACTATAATGGCTTACTATGGTAGATAGTAAAGAAGATTACTTGAATAGTTTAGTGACAAGTATTTTAAGCATTTAAATGATCAAGATTTGGATAATTTCGAGACCTATTATCACATGAAAAAGAATTTACACTTACAGAGATTATAGCCAGTTTATCCTCCCAATCAACAAATGCTACCACCAGGTGTACCTCCCCCTGCATATTAACCTTAAGGAATAAATCCCAATCAATATACTCATGGCTAGAATTACAACTTTTAAGGACAGACTACTCCTTAATAGTAACAGTTCTAACCAAACAACACTCCTACTTTGCTATCATTAGATCTAGGAAATTTGTCAACTCTGAATAATGAAAGAGGATAATCAAATGATACTAAAATATCAACTGATAGTAAAGAAGAGGCTAAGAGCTTGTGATGAATAGTTTTCATCATTACGATTCCTTATTTAAAAAATTTGATTAAAATTTAATGTACTCAGTTTTATCATGATCTTTAAAATCAATATTGGTGTATGGGGTTTTGGGGTTTTGGGGTTTTGGGG